TTAGCAATTGCATCCAACATAAATCCTCTTATCTTACAAATAATTTATTGGCATAACGATCATATTGCCTAGTGAGGTTATCAAAGCGTATAATAAATCAATATTATCATTCATTCATCTTATAACGCGTGAATTAGTAAGAATAGTTAGAGGGTGACATCCAAATTTTCTTCTCATGTTACCATATCATCTTACTCTCCCGTTATCTTTGGACATACACACAAAGACGCGATCTCAGTTCCCGTGACGTGATTCCTCTACTTAAATAACCAATAGCATTCATGTTCTCCATTGCATACCCAATCAATTCCTTACAACACACAGAATGTAACCGGTGGCGCGTAGGGAAAGCAAAAACAGAGAGAATATTCCCCAAACGAGGCTTAACCATAACGGCGTCGTTTCCACCGACGTTAACAGAAGGAGGATCACGAGTCTCTAGCCAATCCCCGCACGCCGTCTAATTAATCTCAAATTCTCAATAATAATATTGGCGGGTAAGGGTAAGGGTATGGGTAAGGGTGCAACAAACGGCGCGCAGTTAATCTGAGAAACCCCAAGGCAAATAATAATGCACGGCACGTGCACCGACGTCCTATGGACCCACACCAAGCACTACACTTTGGACCCCACACCTTCTTCCATATATATGGACCATATACCGGCCACGTCACCATGCACTCCGCCGTCGCTCGGCTGTTGTACGGAGGCACCTGTCCTTAATATATCAGAACATTGCACTTGTCCTTAATCTGTGTCACGTGCTTCCTTCCATTAATATTATTTGATGTGATTTTTCATAAGAGCTTACGACAAATGTGCTTTCATTTTCTTCTACTTATAAAAATTAAAATACCATAATTATTTTTTCTTGTAGGAGAGGGAGATCGATGTGTATATACTTTAGGTGATTAGTGGTGGGATTTTTGTTAAATAATTAGCTGTATGTATGAAAAAATAAAAAATAAAAAATATTTGGTACGAAGAGAAAAAGGAGATTGAATACATGTGTACGGTGCAAGATTAAATTAAGTAATACATAAGGTGTTATGCTATATAATTAATAATGAAAATAGTGATGCTAACGGAGTTTAATCCAATGGAAAATGGTATTGTTTTGCATATCAGAAGTTTTAGGTTCGAATCCCTTAGCATCATAGTGTGTGTGTGTGAAAAATGCCTATTTCTATAATTTAGACTATCATTTTTATCGTTTTTACTAAAAAATAAAAAAATAATGAAGATAGTGATAAGGGGAATGTTGGACTGCTTTCTTGTGTTATTGGGTTATGGAAACCTAAATTATGCAAATAAAAACACCCGGAATATTGTCGGTTGGTATTTTTTGTGTGAATTTTAATATGAAAATAACCTGAAATTGCGTCTTCAGTGGATGCACTACTTTATCTTTTTTTCGGTAGGCTTCGGCACTAACCCTGCCGGCCTGCCCTTATACTTTGACATGAAAAAGTGCTCACCCAAGTGTCTTTCAATTATTACTTTAATCAGAGTCATAGGGAGAAAGATGTTAGTTGTGTAGTGTTCCCCATTTTACTAGGGCAACTTACAAAAGACCCACCAATATAGGAGAGTTTATACATATAATTCCTTGCTACTAGCCATATTGATATCTTTACTTGCAGTTCATTAATTATTTTCTTTCAGGAAATAATTTATTCTTATATATAACAATTATGAAACAATATTACAACATAATAAAGCTGTCCACACTGGTTACTTACTATAAGCTCGAATTTTATTTTGTCAGAAAGGTTAAGGCATGCACCTTTGGCTTTTGACTAAAAGGTTGAGGCACTCATCTCATACATGTTTTAGTATGTACATGCTTAGTTGTGTACATCCCATCCCGAACACACGCTACTTAGGAGAGTGTTGAGCAAAACTACTTTATGCAGCAACACACTTCTAAGATAGATCTTCAAGTCATGTGGCATATCCTAATTGACGGTTTATCTTCTAACTAATAATAACATAACCATATTTTTCAACCTCATTTTTAACATCTATGATCTAAGTGTTATTCATAATTCGATTTGGAATGTGGTTTAAAAAAATGTAGTAAAAACAGTTAGCTTTGTTGAAAGTAACAAAATGCCGTTTGAGTTGTGCTCGGATAGAGAAGCTCCTAATTACATAGGATCTTGCACCAGCTTGGATAGCTAGGGATCCACCACATATGGCCATGGATTGATCCCAAAGCCAACTAGGATTGAATATTGGTATTGCACCCTTTGGGTGTCGACACAACGGATCCCCCACCCCACAAGTAATTAGTTGAAGCCTTGAGAGTTGTATTATCTAGATGACCTAATAGGAGGTGAGTGCGATGAAGGCCCCACTGTCTTAGGGTTCCATTGAATTCATTTCAATTCTCTCCGTTGTTCACGCCTATGAATGCAATGCTAGTTGAGAGAGAGAGAGAGAGAGAGAGAGAGAGAGAGAAGAAAAAGCTAAAGAAGGAAGGACCATAGTTAAAGAAAGATCAGAGAAGCTTCCTGCTAATTGGTTGATTTTATTTTTGGTCAATTAGTTGGTTGATTAGGCTAGGCTACTAAACAAAGCATGGCACATGGGGACCATACGAAGGGAGGGACAGAAGATCAATACTCAGATCATGACCAACCCTGTTGACTTTCAACTCAACACAACGGATTTAATTTACTATAATTAAAGAGCACATGAGGGATGTGATTATTATAATCATAATCCATTTTTAATAATGATCTAAAAACGAAAGCAGGCGCTTTTGATGATTTTGGTATCCCATACTAGTACATGTCGTCCTATTAACAAAGAGAAAGTTGCAACGGCTTTATATTTATTAAGAATTTTATTTATAAAATAATCAGGTCACCAATCTATTTTCCGCTAATCAAGAAACAATATGCTTGAACTGGCGCCAAATATTGATTGGACATTTTAGGCAAGTAAGTAGCAATCTTCCGCTGCCAAACTCTAGTTGTCAAAATCGAGTTTCTCTCTTAGCTAGCAGAAAAACTTGGTTTCAACGGGAGTATTTTGCTATCTCTGCTAATAATGATATGACACGTGAAACACTGTTATCCCCGTTTTATGAAAGTGTTTCTCCTTAACCCTAAGGGTCAATTGATGACAATTACCCTAATTACAAAAATGTTTCCCCACTATTGAATTCATAGCAGTAAGCATAGAAAATGATATACTTGATATACCCCCGTTCACCAACTTACATGTAACTTTATGTACTCCATTTGTAGCATTTTGGACAATTCATGGTATTGATTTTCCCACTCCCTTTTTATCCACTTACACTTCATTTTTCTAAACAAAAAGAAGTGTAGATGGATAAAAGGGGAGTGAGAAAATCATTTACCTTCATCTAATTGCTCCGAACTTCAAATATTTAAACTTCTCGATCTATCTCTAGCTCCGGCCCTGCAAACGTGAGATTTATACTCTCAACAAGCTTTGTAATGGCAGTGGCATGTAAAAATACAAGAAGGAATATTGTAAAGATATGGTAAGTTTGACCAGAGGGTGTCACTAGATGTGAGCTCTGTTGCATAACAATATAATATTCCCAATACGTACTGGAATAATAGAATTCATCACAAGTCTATAATAAATTATGAGTAACATAGAAGCTTGGGTCAAAAGAGAATTATCATATAACTACAATAAATTGGAACTATACCACTATAATAAATAAGATCACAGAAATATAATAAGGAAGGAGGGTTGGTTTCTGGCTTGAATGACAGATAGTCTTTGTGATCTTCGACGACAGAGATAAGAGATCTACTGGGTGCTTCTGTGCTGTGAGAGGAGAGAGAGAGAGATTAAATTTGGGACAGAAAGGGTGGTGGGGTTTGGGTTGGTGTCAATATGAAGGAAGAAAAGTGACAAAAATATGTGAAGGATGTGGTTTTGAGTTGAGCTTGAGAGGGACTACGGGAGTTTCTGGTACGCACATGACGCAAAAGAAACCAAAAGGGTTTTGGGGTTCACATGGCAATGGAAAATTCCACAGACTACTGTAGGTCATGTCCCTTTTCTCTCTCATTTCAGCTTGGTAAATGACAATAATGCCCTTTGTTCATAGTCACATTGGCTGGTCAAAACCTTTTTACTGCCAAACATGGCCTAACTAATTGGCTGCTTAATTAAAAATAACAATAGAGATTGATGCTTTATTGTTCTAGTTTATACCAAGTGTTAATTGTCCTTAATTTTCTCCATCTGAATAATTCTCCACCAACTTTTATCAGCAATTTAACAATTTAATTTTATATCCAGTACTTGTATAATTTGGATGCTTCGCATATGAAATAGGCAACTATCATTCTTCTTAAACTCAAAATCTAAATTACGGAAAGAGGGATTTGAACTTGAGTGCAGAGTGGAAAACACATCGTTTCTACCGAATTCGACTTTTAAACTACAGAAAGAAGGATTCGAACTCAGATGCAGAGTAAAAAACACATCCATTCTATCGAATTTGGCTAAGCCCATATATGCAAACATTTACCTTTGCCTTTTTCCTTTTTGCGCTTGTTTGACAGGTTATAATTCCACTCCATGTGTAGCCTGAAGCCACGCAGAGATGAGCCTTGACACTTGTGGTGATTTGTGAACTATCGAATTTGGCTAAGCCCATATATGCAAACATTTACCTTTGCCTTTTTCCTTTTTGCGCTTGTTTGACAGGTTATAATTCCACTCCATGTGTAGCCTGAAGCCACGCAGAGATGAGCCTTGACACTTGTGGTGATTTGTGAACTGTGAAGGGGTGCAAGCTGTTTGTATCTGTTACACACGTAATAAATACAGGTTCACTCCAAACCAAACGCTTAACCCCAAGTTGGTAAAGAGGTCCATGTGTAACTCTACCTTATTTATTCACAAAAAATCATAAATACAATTCTGTATTTTCCTATCTTATTCTGTGACCAAATTTATATATATACATATATTATATAGCTCAGTTCAGAGTCTCAGGCCTGTGAGTGTGGGACACCAAAGAAGTGAATGGACCTTGTTGCTGCTGGTCTTGCTGCTTCACCGCACTCTTAGCTGCTCTTGCTCTTTCTCTCTCTGTACATTTCACAATTCATTCTCTGCTTTGAGTTCTGTCTACCATTTGAGTTGATAGAGAGACGGAGAGAAAAGGCAAAACATGGAAACCAACTCAGTTTCCAAGTTGTGCTTGTTCCTGGGCTTGGTTTGCTTCTTGGGGTTTCAGCTTGTCCAATGTACTGTCACCTATGATAGGAGGGCCATTGTGATAAATGGGCAAAGAAGAATCCTCATTTCTGGTTCAATACATTATCCCAGAAGCACTCCTGAGGTACCCAAATCTTTCCCATTTTGCCATTTCACTTGTCTTCCATTCTAACAATTGTTTCATAAAATTGTGTTCTTTCCCTCTGTTCTTTTTGTCGGTTGTTTAGATGTGGGAAGATCTGATACAGAAGGCAAAAGATGGAGGCCTTGATGTGGTTGAAACCTATGTATTCTGGAATGTGCATGAGCCTTCTCCCGGCAATGTACTCTTCACTTACTCTTTTCATTTTACATTCCAAGTTTTCTACTTTGTTTTGCTCTGTTTGCCTTTTAGTTTCTCTTCTAATCATGCATGTTGCTGTGTTTGTGCTGGGTTTCAGTACAATTTTGAAGGGAGGTACGATCTGGTGAGATTCCTCAAGACCATACAGAAAGCAGGGCTCTATGCTCACCTTCGCATTGGGCCTTATGTTTGTGCTGAATGGAATTTTGGGTACTCCCTCTCTCTTTTTTGTGCTTCTCGATCTAACTATCTTGGCTCTTGTTTTGCATTTGAGGATTTTCACTACCATTTTTACATTTTTCTTTTTCTTTTTAGACACAAATTTTCTAACCTTTCTGACTCTCTGACTTTTAGGGGGTTTCCCGTTTGGTTGAAGTATGTTCCGGGCATCAGCTTCAGAACGGACAATGAGCCTTTCAAGGTTAATCTTCCTTACTGTATGTTCTTAATTATGTTGCATAACCTGTCTAAGAAGAATTTAGGGAGCTTGCTGGGATATATTCAGTATAATTTTATGATGTACAACTTCTGGTGTTGCAGAGGGCAATGCAAGGGTTCACCGAAAAGATTGTGGGACTGATGAAGAGTGAAAAATTGTTTGAATCCCAGGGTGGCCCCATCATCCTCTCTCAGGTATATGAGCCTTTTGGATTTTCCATTTTGCTCTATGATTTCATTTTTGGCAGTAAATTAAACTATTTTGAGTCAAGTTATAAGGAAATCTGTTAATTTTTTCCCTTTGGTTCAGATTGAGAATGAGTACGGAGCACAGAGTAAGTTATTTGGAGCGGCTGGCCATAATTACATGACTTGGGCGGCAAATATGGCTGTTGGGTTGGGAACTGGGGTGCCGTGGGTGATGTGCAAGGAAGAAGATGCTCCAGATCCAGTGGTGAGCAATTAACACTATTTGTGCTGCAGATCTTAGCTTGTCTTGTTCTGCATTTTCCCTTTAGTTAACATTCCTGCAATGGGTTACCGATTCTGGAGTTCTTAAAGAGTTGTGTGACTTGTTTGAACAAAAAAAGAATAAAAGAGAAAAAGAGTTGTGTGACTTGTGTCTTCATTCTTTATTAAAGATCTCTTCTAGTTTCATTCTATCTTTTGCGAAGAGGTCACTGAAATGTTTTGTGCATGATGGTGGCAGATAAACACATGTAACGGTTTCTACTGTGATTCTTTCGCTCCCAACAAACCCTACAAGCCTACGATTTGGACAGAGGCTTGGAGTGGCTGGTATGTTTATTATGCTTGTTTGCTTTGTATGTTTATTGTGCTTGTTTGTTAATTTGCTACAAATGAAAATACATTCTTTTCACTCTTTCCTTCAACAAAAATGTGAAGGTTTTCGGAGTTTGGCGGTCCAATTCACCAACGACCAGTTCAGGATTTAGCATATGCAGTTGCTAGATTCATACAGAAAGGAGGATCATTTGTTAATTATTACATGGTCAGTTTCCTTTTTCTATTTTGAGGGTACGAATGTGAAATTTTAAAACCTATATAAAACTGAATCCCTGTGCTTCATTATGAAACAGTATCACGGGGGTACTAATTTTGGACGCACAGCGGGCGGCCCTTTCATCACTACCAGCTATGACTATGACGCTCCATTAGACGAATATGGTGAGAACCAAAACTTACCAGCTTTCTTTCCAAGGAGTGACAGGAGTTCCGTTTGATTTATTATGTGTGTAGAGAGAGAGAGAGAGAGAGAGAGAGAGAGAGAGAGAGGGAGACGGGTGTCAACCACAAAATGAACTGAACCATGTGTTACATGGGTTACTGGGTTGCATTCTTTCAGGTGTATCTGATGATCTGAACATGCACAGATGTTCAGCATCCATCAGTCTTATCTCAAATATTACAGCCACAAAATGATGAGTTTGCTAGTAATTGCTTAAGCAAGCTGGATATCTGTGTGTGTAATGATATACCAGTTCACTGCATGTAAGCTTTGAACTTTTGATAATATAGCTAACTGCTCCACCCTTAAACTTGATAGGTTTAATCAGGCAACCAAAGTACGGTCATCTAAAGGAGCTTCATAGGGCTATTAAGATGTGCGAACGTGCTTTAGTTTCAGCCGATCCTATCATCACTTCACTGGGGAATTTTCAACAGGTTTTCATCTCTTTCTCAAACTAGATTTTTGTATTTGCTTAAGTTGTTATTGTTTGCTAAACTCTAGGTATCTTTTTGCATATTCAGGCTCATGTATACACTTCAGAATCAGGGGATTGTGCAGCATTTCTTTCAAACCACGATTCCAAGTCAGCTGCAAGAGTGATGTTTAATAACATGCACTACAACCTGCCTCCTTGGTCCATCAGTATCCTTCCTGATTGCAGAAATGTAGTCTTTAACACTGCAAAGGTATTAATTCTGGAATGTGATATGTGTATTCGACAGAATCTGTGACCACACTTTCAGGAACACAAATCTTTATTTCCTTTGTTTCATTTTCTTGTAGCATTGAAGGGTTTTAAAGTTTTTAAGATGAAGTCATTTGTTCCTTCTCCCCAGGTTGGAGTTCAAACATCACAAATGGAAATGTTACCAACAAATATTCAGAAGCTATCATGGGAGAGTTATGATGAAGATATTAATTCTCTGGATGACAGCTCAACAATCACCGCTCCTGGTCTCTTGGAACAGATAAATGTCACGAGGGATAGTACTGATTACCTGTGGTACATAACGAGGTGAGAATTTCCTAAGCCTAACTCTTTTTTTTCCTCCTGGTCTCTTGGAACAGATAAATGTCACGAGGGATAGTACTGATTACCTGTGGTACATAACGAGGTGAGAATTTCCTAAACCTAACTCTTTTTTTTATCACCATCTCATGATTTCTCCACAGTTGGTCTGTTTTTCTCAGAAGTATTTCTAATTCACAGAAGAAAGATCTAGCAATGAATTCTTAGAAAGCCTTTCAAAAGAATGTTCCGATTTGACCATCTTGGTCTATGGGAAGTACCTAATATGCAATTTGAAATACGACATAAGCAACAAGCAAATATGCTCAGGACAGTGTTACATATGCCTTCAGTGATATCCCGACTCTGACCAGAGAGGAAAAAAAAACATTAAGTGAGGATATGAGAGCTTTAAAAAGACCTTAAAGATAGATATTAAAGCATCGTATTTGTTTCAATGTGCCTGCAGCATTGATATTGGCTCATCTGAGTCCTTCCTGCGTGGAGGGGAACTCCCGACCCTTATTGTTCAATCAACAGGCCATGCTGTGCACATCTTCATTAATGGACAACTTTCAGGTACATTTTTTTATTGCATGGATATCCCCTAGCTGATTAGTAGTAAAAACTTTAACAAGTATTATTACAGGTTCTTCCTTCGGAACAAGGCAGAGTAGGAGGTTCACATATACTGGCAAGGTCAATCTACATGCAGGAACAAACAGAATCGCACTGCTGAGTGTTGCTGTTGGATTACCAGTTAGTTCCATTGCCCTTGATTATTAATTTTTCATATTCTATATTGAGTAATAGTGAACCTAGTAGAAAAGAAAGAGGAATCTGTTTTGCAATCATGAAATGAATGAACAGTTAACCTCATTACTATTCTACACAAACCTGACTTTTGGTAGTGAGGTTTCTTCTTGTTTTCCTTCTTTGCTTCCTGACTTAAAATTATTGTTTTTTGTTGAAGAATGTGGGGGGCCACTTTGAGGCATGGAATACTGGAATCCTTGGCCCAGTTGCACTTCATGGACTAGACCAAGGAAAATGGGACTTGTCATGGCAGAAGTGGACCTACCAGGTAAGTGATCTTACTTTAGAAATCAAATTTTTTTATTTATATTCAAAGGAACGTTTTCCCTTATCCCTGATACTTTGACAGGTTGGATTGAAAGGAGAAGCCATGAATCTTGTATCTCCAAATGCTATTTCCTCTGTTGATTGGATGCGAGGATCATTAGCTGCACAAAAACAGCAGCCATTGACTTGGCACAAGGTAGGCAACAAAGGAAATTGAACTCAATGTTGTAATGGAAAATTGGGAATTGAATTATTAAAACTCACTCACTTAACTTTGCAGACTCTTTTCAATGCACCCGAAGGGGATGAGCCATTGGCTTTGGACATGGAAGGAATGGGAAAGGGCCAAATATGGATCAATGGGCAGAGTATTGGGAGATACTGGACTGCATTTGCTAATGGTAATTGCAATGGTTGCAGTTATGCTGGAGGGTTTAGGCCTCCAAAGTGTCAAATGGGTTGTGGCCAACCCACACAACGAGTGTAAGTAACCCTATGATGAAAATTTATTACATGAATTGTAGTATGAAAGTATGGCATAAACATTTCGTGGCTTTACTCAGCAAACAAATTCTTCCCTTCAATTTCACGTGGATTTCATTTTCAGGTACCATGTGCCTCGGTCTTGGTTAAAACCAATGCAAAATTTGTTGGTAATTTTTGAGGAACTTGGAGGGGATCCCTCAAGAATTTCTCTAGTAAAGAGATCGGTGAGCAGTGTTTGTGCTGAGGTCGCTGAATACCACCCAACAATAAAGAATTGGCACATCGAAAGCTATGGAAAAGCTGAAGACTTCCACAGCCCCAAGGTGCATTTACGGTGTAACCCAGGCCAGGCTATCTCTTCCATTAAATTTGCTAGCTTCGGCACGCCCTTGGGAACCTGTGGGAGCTACCAAGAAGGAACTTGCCATGCCGCCACGTCATATTCTGTATTACAGAAGGTACTTAACAGTGCTTTCTAGTTTTCATAATGTACTAGTACTCTTACCCTCTTTTTTTTAAAAACTGTGTTCTATCTTTTTTGTCTTTTGTGATCACAGAAGTGCATAGGGAAGCAGAGATGTGCAGTCACCATATCCAACAGCAACTTCGGAGATCCATGTCCGAAAGTGTTGAAGCGGCTGTCAGTTGAAGCTGTTTGTGCTCCCATAGCTTCAACGACCGGGGAACCCAATTTGAGGGGTTAGTGAAAGTGTGAAATAACATACCATAATTGTTGCACCTAATCCCATAATTATACACCACAGCAAGAGAGGCAAGCAAAGAAGAATAAGAGTTCAAGTACAGCGAGATAGAAATGTAGTTAGGTGGAGTGCCATAGTTTTTTTCTTTCTGATGAAGAGTAGTAGTAGCTATGTTTGGAGCCAAAAGGCAATTAGCTGTTAATTTAAGTGAGCTTAATGAAGTTGTGTAAAGTAGTGAACTTGTTGCTTAGGTGAGTTGGTAGGAAACCTGGGGTCCTACAATTTGGTCCCTAGGGGTCAAGCCCCGGTCCCCGGCCTTTTAACGGGATATATGGGCACTGGGAAGTGATGTGTTTTTCTGTTGAATGATTTACTGTTCATCTGTTGTTGGGGAAAAAGGATGCCCCAGAACTAATTAAGTATTTAAGGTTCATGTTGGGAATGGATCCTAGCATGACCATTTGTTTACTGTGCAGTTCATGAATGAAAAGAAAAGTGAGAGATTTGTGTTGTCCATTTCAATGTGTTACTTCGGCTTTGTCTCTGATGGCATATCCTTTGAATCCTCTATCAAAGGGAAAGTAAAAAAGGCAAATAATTTCCCATGATTTACGATTTGATGATAGTGCCTTCAACAGTAAAAGTAAAAACACACCAGACTCGCAAACTGGCAAGGGGTTTGTAGCTCAAATGACTAAGAGTATGTACTCCTGGCAAGGGGTTTGTAGCTCAAGTGGTTAAGAGCATGTACTCATGCATCCTAGGTCCTTCTCAAGTTATGGACGTACCTACCGCAACTATACGGAATTTTCACAGTATGCCAAACTAGCATGTCATCTGCTAACTTCATAGATTTGCATAAAGTGCAAACATAAACCATGAAATGAGCTAAATAGAACTGTATTTATGCAGCAATACCCATATGAAAAATACCACACAAGACTTAGAACAAGTGAAAGGGGTTATAACTTATAATAAAAGTCTACATTGATAGCGCATCATAAGGTCTGTGGCCATGTGCTTTTGCTATATATGTAGATGTAGTCTAAGATAAATAGGCATATAATGCAAATTATATCATAAGTTATCAGGCAGAAGCAGAAGCAGAAGCAACGTGCTTTGCTATAGTCTGCTGCAGCTCGTCTTTCTTTGCTCCCACCACTTTGTCCACTATCTTCCCTTCTTTCAGGAACATGAAGGTTGGCATTGCCTCCACGGCCCAGTCTTGAGCCACAGACTACCAACAACAACAACAAAACAAAATTCACTTGCAAATGAGTTTATTCTAAAATAAGTTTTACTTTTAGAAGGAGAGATTTCATTTTATTTTTGTATGTTACCTTCAACTCATCCACATCAACCTTTACGAATATGACATTTGGCAGTTTCTTAGCCAACTCTGACAGGAATGGTGCGATGAAGCGGCATGGTCCACACCATGAAGCAGTGAAATCAATGACCATCTGCATTTGATTGATGATCTCAGAACATGAAAGAGAAGTAAAAGAATACAATACAATTTTACTGTGAGAAAAATGTGAATAGTAAAACAAAAACCTTATCCCCCCATCCTATCATGACTATTTTTTATGACTACACCATGGCCTCTTGAAGCCTAGTCCCAGTGACACATCTGCTGCTTTGAGAAGGAAAATACTTTGGAAGTGCTTTTGTAAGGGCTTAAAGTATTTTTTAACAACGAAAAACACTTTTAACAGCGTTTGGTAGAAAAATATAGAAGTGCTTTTTTTTTTAAGAAGCACTTGAATTTCTTATGAAAATTTCAACGTTTTTATAATAAAAGCACTTATAAGCAAAAGTGCTTCACAGAGAACCTCGACAGTACAAAGAACATTTCACGGTACCAAAATGAAAAAGTAACAGGAGGGTCAAAATAAAAAACAGAGAACGACTAAGTCAGAGAGACAACATGATGTAGTTCCACCAATATACCCTTATCAAGATAAGGGGCACAAAGAAGTCGTTGTCAACCTAGGATTCTTATATGTACAATCGTAGCAAACGCAATAAACGTGGTAGGAAAATATTATCTTTGAGCTGGAATATTCTTTTAAGATTGAAGAATGAACACATATGCCCCTTGGCTGTTTGTTTCCTCCAGATAATAAAAAAGCTAAAAGAAAAGTTGTGCGTCTACTAACTTAGAATAAAAAAGTTATCACGCATAACATACTGTGATTACCTGGGAATAGCAAAGTTATCCTTTTTCATGTAAGTGTTTCTCCTAAGAACTAGTTATATGATATCAAATAAAGGACACACTGAAGGGTGGAGTGGAGTCGAACAAAACTTAACAAGAGGTTCCATATTACTTTTAACAAAGGAAACAAAAGACGCTTGAATTTGAACAAAATGCTAAATAAACGAAGCCAATTTATTAAACAGCTTTCACCAACATGTTTTCCAAGAACGAATCCAGCCAAGGGCTTCATAATTTCCATGGAAGAATCACAAAATTCAAAAGAAAATTCCAAATTCAAACAAACAGAACCTCTTTGCCTACGGTACAGCAGCAATCAGGCTAATTCATTCATGCATGGATGATGAGGAATACCAAACCAAATCTTTACGCTTTGTACATAAATCTAGACCAAGCGAAAACCAACCAAATCTCTTTCTTTTCCATACGAAAAAAAAAAAACCAAACAAAACCCATTAATCAGATTCATTAAAAGTACTAACCCAATCACCCCAAAACCACAAACAGCAAACCAAATATATATATGAAAAAAATTGTTTTTTTTTGGGTGTGAGCAATTGAATAAAATACCAGCTTCTTGGATTCGTTGCCCTTCTGGAGCTGCTCCGTCCATGCATCGAGAGTATGGCAACTGACAACTTGTCCCTCCTCTGCTGCCATTATTTTCTCGCTCTCTAAAATTTTCTTAAGAAACAAACAGAAAATACCACACAGAATAAACGCGTCCGCTTTTTTTAATGTTGGTTTCGGACTCTCTCACTGGCTTAAATAAGAAAAGGAAAAACCGCAGTTGTTTGTCACTGCCGAATTGGCCTTAGTATTAGGATTAATTACGAATGTGCCACGATCGATAAGGACAATGTATAAAAGGAGATTCCCATGCAACGTAAATGGACGTACCGCTAATGCGAGCGTAATGTAGCGCTGCTGTTAGGTGGACGTATTGTGCGCTAGCCCACAATATGATCCGTGGATCTTTAAATCATAACCGTTGATAGAGTAGACTTTGACTGTTGACTTGCAAGAATCAAGGGCATCCGGTTAGGTATACTCGGACAAACAAGGTATGGTGGTCACCTAATATATCATGTGATTTGATTGTGCTTGCTGTGTTGGTATATCTCTAGATTCATTTCATTTCATTGCTATGTAATTTGGACTGCTCTAAAGTCATTTGATTGAACGTGGAAAAAAGAAGAAGTTATGTTCTTATTGTCGCATTGTAGGGTAGGGCAATCCTCAAGCCCACGTGTGACTCCATCATTGTTGTCGGAGGACAAACTAATTATGATTTAGTGCCTTTGGGGTGAAATCAAGCGGTGAAGAATGGAGTAATGAGCTTGGATTAGGATAAATTAATCGTTGGATTCCTTTTAAAGTAACAAACAAAGTAATGGTTTAGTTCAATCGAATCAAATTCTCCCATATAATTTAATTTTGTAGTAAAGGGCTAATTGGTTAATCGTTTGTGTCTAAAATCCAATCTTGATTTGTTCCACACCATTAAGATTGCTATGTTTTATTAGTAGAATCCGTATTATTTACGGTACGTAAATCCCACAAAATCTAAATTTGTAAATAGTGTTTATCCCACCAACCATGATTACGTTTTAATGTTGTCAGGTCCGAATGCACGTTTGATTCATTGGAGACTTGCTAATTGACTAATTATTTAAGAAATAATGAGAATGCCAATAAACGTAAACATAGTAACAGAACCTTTCGATCTGTCGGAGAGACCAAAGCAGAGTTTAAATCCAAGAAACCAACATAAAAGAACAAACTATAAACTTTAAAATTGGAACAGCACTCAATTCTTGGATCACATGCCTTCTTAGGAGGAAACAAACACTTAGAAATGAACAGGAGAGATCAGGGGCTATTTAAAATGTCCAAAGTAGCTGGCAAATGCCACTGTTGTATACACATGAATCACACGTCTCTAAAAACAAGGTTTCTGTATGACTGACTTCAAATAACAGAAATCTTACAAATGGATCACACTCTTGAAACAGTAAGTACCAAGAAGAAACCATCCAACAAGAAATGCGGTGAAGAATCCTAAGTAAGTTAGGAAGGTTGAACCTGCAAATCCAACTCCAAGACCGAATGCTATTAAAAAGGGTAAAAAGGACCGCACCATGGATGCCGTGCTCACCCATTTACCCTTGAGGAAGATCAGAGCTGCAAGGTTCACCACATTCCACCCACCAGAACGAAACCCTAACCTGTTTAGGTTGTTGGCTACAAAGGAGTGGCAATTGCAGGTAAGAATATTATAAGATCGGTGTTGGAATTCCTGCGTGCCCTTCCGAAGCGCATCATCCCATGTCATTATGTCTCTTCCGGGTTCATCCTGCCCGTATTGATCCTCGCTTTGACACACAGATGGATTGGGAATAGAGTGACACTGCTTGTCAAAATTTTAATGAACACAAATTAAGACAGGAATAGCAGGTCAATACATAAACGAAAATGTTGGACTAAGGGAGCAGCTCCCATCTACTCATTGCACCAAATAAAGGTATATAGGCATGTCCCTGCTCATGAAGCAGGTTTATAGTAATTGCACTCCAGTAATGGCAACAGGTTTATAAAAGGTAACTACATAGGAGCCAAAATCAGGGTTCAGATATGAAGATTGCATATACCTTTTCTTTGCTTATTTGGATGTAGCGAGTCGCTGCTCCGAAAGCAAAGTTATCCACGCACACAAAATTGGGCCCAGCAAAGTCCAAAATCACACCATCTTCTCTGCATATGCCAATGTGGCCAATGAAAGGAATCAACCATGAAATAACAGGAAGGGGTGTCCACACAATGCAGCATGGAAACCGGGCTCTTCTAGGGTCAATTTGCAGAGTTGGCGAAGCACTTCCATCGATCATCAAGTTGTGCTCAGGGCTTGCACTTGTTTCCATTGCCAAAATTGGAAGCTGCTGAATTGCCTCAAAAACATTAGATACTTTTCATAAATCTGGCTCGGAATGCAAAGGTGCTTCCAAAATAAAAGGCACCAAGTTCACTTACACAGAGAATTTACAAATGCATTGTCCCAAAAATAAAAAGAAATGCTTTCTTTCCCAAACAGAACACAATATTTTCCAACAAGCAGCATATTTCAGCAGATCATCAAACAAATTGCAACCAAATATTATGACACATTATGAACTCTAATTAAATTCGGGAAAAGCTATTATCAAAAAATCATTAACAGTAGAGATTGCCCCATTATCAAATTGTAGTCGTCTATTTTCTCCTATGTAAAATGGCATGGGGTCAAGATAACTCTTAC